ACAAATTATAACTTTATAAAGCTTAAAGTATGAATTAAAATGATTAGAAATATTAGGAACGGTACACAATATAAAACTTAGTAACTTTTTTTAAGTTTATAATATTCGACATATTTTAAGATTATATTAAAAAATTATTGAAATATCGAAAACACATAAAAACATGGCTAAAAAAAGTTCTAACAAATGTAAATGACAATAAAACATCCACGCATTTTATCGAAAGTTATAAAAGTTTTGTTACTTGTAATATGTTTTATCTGCCCCCTGGAATTAATGTTTAGAACCTTGTTCCCAAGGTTTGAAAAACATCCGATTGTTGTCTATTACTCGTATTTACCTGCTGGATTTTTTAATCCGGTGGACAGCCCATCTAGAAAGGCCCTCCTGGATGAAGTTACAGAATCATCAACCCATACTTTACTTGTAGCGTGTCCTGCGTTTACCCACGTTTCATCAAGGTAATAAATCTTCCTGTTTTGATTTCTATATTTCCCAATTTTTGTTAAATAATCCCTCCTCCATACCACAATTTCTTCTCTATCCAGTGGTAAACTATTACGACCCCGTTTTTTCCATTTGAAATTTAAATGCTTCAGTAACGCATGGAAAGTTGATCGTTTGAAATTTGGCAACGTTGTATCTCCATTTACCTCCTGCAGTACTTTATCTATAGTAGGTATTTCATTCCTAAAGAATTCATGCACTTTCCTCCTAATCGCATGCTTATCAGCTTCATCTAATGATTTAGCAATACTTTTGCGATGTTTACTGGTCATTGGCTCAGAAAAGGTGTGATTTTTTTTGTATTGTCTTAACACATTAAACACTGATGCGCGACACACCCCAACTTTGTGAGAAACCTTCACAACAATTTCTTTGATGGTTGATGCCTCGTTCTCCTCGCGCTCGATCTTATATATATTCAAAATGACCTCTTTCATTTCTGCACTCAGGTGTCTTTTTTTAGAGCGTTTCCTAGGCGGACTACAGGAGTTTACAACTTCATCGGCAGTATCTGTACTACTGGGCATTTTGCGCAAGCAGTTGATAACAATAACAATCAATAACAAGGTATAACAATAACAACGACAAACTCAACAACTTAATAAGATAACAAACGAAAACGTCCAAAGAAATATCAAATTGCAATGATGCACACGACATACGTAACACGTCTGAACCTGAATGTGACTCTGCCTTGATACGACTGCTCTGCCGCTCGGCATAGGCATTTAATTGCGAATTGACCAACGAGGGCTCCTGTTTTACGTCGAGACGGCGGCGTTAGCATTAAAATCACCCGAACCTTTTGTTTACATCCGGTCTATCTCTTATCTGAATATACTGTAGATCGGTAAGACAATGTGCGTGTTCTTTGCGGTAATCAATGCGGTAACCAGTGGATTATAATATACAGGATGTTCCTTAATGATATGCGAATATTTTAGGGTGTGAATCTACATGAAAAATTAATGTTAGTTTGCTTTATAAACTATGGTCCAAAAATGTTTCCTTACAAAAACTCGGGGTGTTGAAGTTTTAGGAAAAAATGGAAATTAAATAATATCTTCAGAACCGCTTCAGATATTTCACTGATATTTAGTACTTAGTTGAAGTTAATAAAGTTGCATATTTTTCAATGCAAATATAATTTTTAGCATTTCAGTGGCGTGCGTACGGGTATTGACTTCGATATTAAAAAGAAATAATTATGTTCACTGTACACTGTCGAACAAGTCGTATACATGTACACAATGATCCTAGTGCAAGACGACATTTTGCAGGTTTCTTACGTGTTATAGGCATTTTACATAAAACCCGTGCGGAACGTCGTACAATAAAGAGGAACTTTTAACATATTTATGCGGTTTAAAGCGACAAGACAAACACGGGGAAATATTTTTCACAGGCTAAACACAGGCACGTCCGAGTCGGACATAACTGAAGCATTTAAGAATTGCTTGCATTTCACACAACTCTTGTTATGACATATCCACTCGGGAACTTACAGTATTTGCCTCATCTATGTGTAGAGGAGAGTTAAAAATACATAGCTTGTCGCCATCACTTTAGATTCTACTACTTGTTGCTAACAATTACGCTTCGATAATCCACCTCAATAACTAAACGATCTTGTTGAACAGGATATTGATCGCATACGAGCGATAAACCGGTAATCAAGTGTGTAATCACTTAGTATGTGAATAGTAACATGCGTAATTACCAGTTCAGTCAATATAAATGCCATTTCGATAGATACAGTTACATGCATCGAATAGGTGGTTCTCTGTAGATTGTCGGTCACTGAATATCGTCAGCATATATGCAAGCACAAGGTAGATGTATTTACCTCCTTCTCTTTCCTTTTCCGGTCACCAACTTGGCTCTAATTACTCAGTACAAGTACTGGACGAATAGGGACAAGTTGATGTCATCTACAAAGATATTCAGAACGCGTTTGATCAAGTTGATCATTATGCACTTCTGAATAAGCTTAAAACAGTGGGTATGTCTGATGCAATGCTGTCGCTCATGAATTCATATTTGAGGGATAGAAGGTTATTTGTCGAATATGGTGGTCATAGGTCGAGTTACTATCGGACCACGTCCGGGGTACCTCAACGGTCAAATCTAAGTCCATTATTGTTTTTGATATTTATTAATGACTTGTATTTTGAACTGAAGTGTTTCCATTTGTTTTTCGCTGATGACCTTAAAATCAGTCAAGACTGTCGAGGATTGCGTCATGTTGCAAGATCTAATTTCGTCACGAAACTGTCTCAGTCTGAATGTTTCGAAATGTAAAATTATGACTTATACAAGAAATGTTAACTATTTAATTTATGATAATTATAACATCAATCGTCAGGTTATAGACAGATGCACCTCTTATATAGTCAACGCCAAACAAAGTGGCGTGCACGTCATCACGATAAAAATTCCCCGACCTAATGCCTAGGTTTCTATCACAAACAATTGCTCTATTGCAGTTTCATATTAATGTGATATATAAATTGTAAAATGGTCATTACTCTCTTATTATGGTTAATAGTCATATAAACATTGTTATTAAAATATCACATAAGTTGCTTTCTGATAAATTTAGACGCATTATGCGAAATAAAATGTTTTGCAAACGCTCCAATCACTTATCGACATGTAAACGCACTAAACCGATTTCGCAGCGTTGACACATTGTCACCTTGAAACTTATTTAAACTGGGAACTGACATTTGTATTAATTTTGACACTGAATCAATTTGTGGCATTTCAAATCTTTATAAATCCTTTGGCCCCGCGCATACTGTAAATCAACAACTGTTTGTTTCAAAACAAAATTATTCATTTTACGAGTAGATAAAGGCAATTTTGGTATATAAAGATGCCCAAACAGTTAAATAGTCGGTGTAAGGAACTCGTGGCCTCGTTAATACACTACTTTGAGCAAGAAAGGGACATCAACGGGCCTTTGTTGCCTTTAAATCCTGTTCAAGAGGTAGGTTACTAATAATTATATGTAATGTATATTAATAATAGTGAAATTTTATTTCATTTTTTGTAGCGTGTTGCTGCTGCTTTAAAAATTAGTTTAAGGACAGTTAGTCATATTTCCGAGGGTGTGAAAAGTGATGCAAATTTAGAATCGCCCAAGAAAAAGCGGAGTTATATTAAACGTGTAACCAACACAGCGACATTGGATACAAGTGCCATTCGAGAAGTGATCTATAATATGTATCACAAAAGTAAGATCTTATTATAATAACTTATCAGAAATTTGCATTAATTTGTTAACTAAATTATAATGTCATATTACACATGGTTTCAGAAGAACAAGTTACGATACAAACATTTGATGGTAGTGCCACGTCTTTAAGGCGGTTGCTTAGAGATCTTGGATTTAAGTGGCTTAAGGACAATCCGCGACGAGGACTCATGGAACTACCAAGTATAGCTTTGAAAAGGGTGGAATTTCTAAGGCAATACAATCAAGCCAAGGTTGAGGCCTTATACCAGTTTGTCTTCCTCGATGAAACTTGGATATTTCAAAATGGGACCATAGGTCGCTCTTGGCAAAATGGAAACCAAAAAAGCGTGAAAGCTATTAAAACAGATGGTAAAAGGTATGTACTTTTACACAATTTGCACTATAAAATTTAAAACTAATATATTTTAGATACATTATATTACATGCTGGAAATGAAAATGGGTTTATTGAGGGTAGTGAAGCGATATTTTCGTCGAAAACAAAATTGAGCGATTACCATGGAGAGATGAACCAGGACAATTTTTTGAAATGGTTTCAACATCAGTTATTAGAAAAATTGGAGAGTCCATCTATGATTATACTGGATAACGCCCCTTATCACAGCATGATATTGAACAAAGTGCCCAACAATGCATGGACAAAAAAAAATATCCAAGACTGGTTGACAAATCAAAACATACCATTTTTAAACACAATGTTTAAAACAGAGCTGTTGAGTATTGTTGCTCGGTACATAATGCTTCTTAATTATATATATTTTGGTCGACAGTTTATATTTCTTTTGTTTATTCCTATTCTTAAAATAACTGCTTTTTTAGAAACAAACCACCTAAAATATACGTGATTGATGAATTGGCGGAACAACATGGGCACAAAGTTCTTCGTCTGCCTCCTTACCATTGTATATTTAACCCTATTGAGTTAATTTGGGGCATAGCAAAAGGTTACTATAACAGACATATTGGTAGAGATGGTAACAGTGAAAAAGACTGTTTGGATATGTGGAACGAGGCTCTACAAACGGTTACCCCAGACATGTGGAAAAATAGTGTTCGACATACTGAGCAAGAAATTTTTAAATGGTATGAAAGAGAACGAATTTTTGATCGACCAGACATCGAACCTTTAATAATCAACTTTGAGAGTGATGAAGATTCAGATTCAGACAGCGCTGAAGAAAGAAACTCCGACTAACTTTATTGTACAGAAAAAGCTTACACCAGTAGCTTACCTAATTTTAGAATGCATTTTTTTGTATGAATTCTGTAAAATAAATACCATGCATAAAATTTGGAGGACCCCATTTGGATTTTTTTTCAGTATCTTTAAGCTATCAATTAAATATGGTAGTTTCATAGTGTCATCTGATCAATAATTGTCATACTTAATGATTATGCAAGTACAGATCTATAATTCTATTATACTATTATTTTTGTTCTCATTTGAGGTTAATATTGCTTATAAACCTAGATATGTAAATGATAAATTTTATTATTTTACAAAAAGTTTGGCAACAATGTAAATTTTTCAACACACCCACCTTGATGACGTGCACGCCACTTTGTTTGGCGTTGACTATAGAGACCTTGGAGTCACTTTTGATACCAAGCTAACGTTTACTGAGCATATACTCAATATCTCGTCAGCTGCCACTCGACTACTTGGTTTCTGTATCAGAAACTGGAAGGGTTTCTCCAATGTTGATACATTAATGACTTTATTTTTTACTTTAGTCAGGAGCAAGTTGGAGTATGCGACTCTGATCTGGTCTCCTATATACCAAAATTTAGGAAGAGGTTGTGACCATAGTGCCCTATTAGAGTTTTTCAATTTGGATTCACAGTCAACAAGACGAAACATGTTTGCTTTGTCGTTTTTGTATTGCCTCATTGACAATAAAATTGACTGTCAAAATTTACTTGAAAAAATATGTTTCCGCATTCCAAGGCTATGGAGTCGACAACAAACGGCATTCTATTGTCAAGCTGGCCGTGCAAATGTTATGACAAAATCGCCATCTCATGTGCTGCGTCATTAACAGTGTTACTGAATCGTGTGATATTTACAGTGACAGTTGTGCATCGATTATTAACTGCTAGAGATCATCCAATCTTATTTAGAATGTGTAATACTATAGATTTAAGTCCAAGAACCATGTGTCTTTAATTGTTATTTTTTCAGCATTTCCTGTAATTGGGTTTCACCTGTTGGAAATAAATAAATAAATAAATAAAGATAAGTCAACGACTCGTTCGGTCTAGAAGAGTGACTTCACTCTTCGTGATGTGTTTGAAAATGGTCAAAGACAAGATTTTTCAGTACAGTAAGCATTTATCTGAATGGAAAATGGCTAATAAAATCGATAAAGAAATATTATTATAACACACATTTATTTATTTATTTTATAATTAACCACAGGACTTATTATTTGCAAACGGCAGGTCAATGTGAACAGACAGAATCTCTAAACAATAGTAAGTGTATATTACAATCACACTAAAATAACATAGTCAATACAATCTTATAATCATAATTTGTAAAGCCATTTTTGCGTGAGCTGATTAGAGATAAAACATAAAACAATATTATTCTAGGAATTTGCAGACTATACAAGGGCAGAATTGTTTTGTTGCATGTAATAGCTTCCAAGATGCGCACTATGAATATGTTGCATAAACATTTGCAGATTGCCGGGGGTGTATACAGGGTGTCCCGAAAAAAGTGTGCAATATTCTACCAGCGGTTTCTAGAGCTTAAAATAGGAAGAAAAGTTTATATAAACATAGGTCGGCAAACGTCCCCTAAGGGCCTTTTAAAGGGGCTCCCTGAAGATCGGTTTTCCTTAATATTTCCGAAACGTGTTGAGATAGAGACATACAATTTGGTATTCCCTAGTTTTTTATGCTGGATTTGAAAATATCAAGAATTTTAGACAGTTTTGTTTGGGGGCGTATGTAACAGGGACGGACTCAGGTTATTTTAGCCCCAAAATTTTTTTATGATTCTATTTTTGAAATTCAATTTTAGAATTTGAAAATTTAGGGTTTTCTACATAAAAAGGTACTCTTATTGAATATCGATAATTGTGCCATTTTTGAATAAAATCAAACTAAACAATTTGTCACATGATAGGAAATGCACTGCGAATTTGAATGAATTCTTGAATAATTGTCCATGGAAACGAAAAAACTAATTTAATAATTGGTAAATATTACATAAATACATATTTCTATTGCAACATAGCTAACATTTAGACATTTTAAAATATATGATAAATCAATCTTTATTTTTTTTTTCAATTCCTGGTGATTTTAATACGTAGGTGAAAGATAGTTTTGGAGCTTAAAGCTTCAGAGATCTTGAATCGTACTTAAACCATTTTCTTAGAACAGTTTGAAAAGCTATTGTTTTATGAATCAATATAATTTTTGGGTCATAGTCCATAGATGTGTTCTGTATCTATAGTGTATCTAACGAAGCTACAAAGTAATCGTAAACAGTGGTTGATTCGTGATCAACGCGTGATCGGTAGCCATGGCGCTCTGTCGGCCTCTTCCTGATTGGCTTGTAGCGACGAGCCTCCAGACAAAGTCGCACGGTTGCCACGCTCGGCGAGTTTTCGCCAGAGTGATTGATCACATTCGCATGGATCACAAATCAATCTGTTGGTGCAATACGTGCAATAACTGTTGTAAAGGACATTATATAAATGGCATCACAAAGGTATATTCCAATTTGCTCTGCAGCAAATTATGAACGGCATATACGGAGATGCGAAAACAAGCTCAAAAAGGTGAAGAAAATTTTGGTGCAATCTTTATAGTTAAATTTTTCCTAAGAGATAGCATCAGTGAGGGAATTTTTTTCTATTGTCTTATTTTTCACATTAATGCGATGTCGAGGTATGTGGCCCTATGGCAATTGAAAATAAGGTTTCGATAATCCTTCCATAAAGTTTCGATGAGTACATCTGAAATAACCTTGAGATATTCTTCAGGGAAATACAAAAATCTCCTTTTGTGTTTTTGTTGTGCAGATTTATCTATTAAAATCCTATCCGCAATCTATTTTCCGTGCACACACCTTCAACCGAATGTATGCCATATATGATATTACCGTTTCCAACTTTCACCAAGGTTAATAGGAACCATAACAGCTCCCTACCCTTCCCCCCTATAAGAATATCGATTTGTAGCCTCACATTTCAAGGTTAGACTTCTTGTAATGTTTCTGTTCAACATTCGGCGATTTCTGTCAATTTTCCCAATAAGCTTATAGTACTGTGCACTCTGCTCATCTCAATTATCATAATAATAATAATAATAATAATAATAAAACATGATCATTGTGACATTAAGCCTGGCAACGCTGCATAGTAGAGGGAACTCTCAGCGTCACGTTGATGGTTCGTCACCACGGACAGGATTGTAATCAGTTACGGATACCCGTTTATGAGCGCGAACGTTTTATGCACGTCTTGACTTGATTTTTCTTGCGGAAATTTAATATTAGTCTAAAATGTCTGACACAGATACAGCTGATGAAGTGGTTGAAATCAGCTTAACGTCACCCAGAAAAAGGGCTAAAAAGCTTCATCTTAGCGCAGGTGAAAAACAAATTATTCTAAATATCTACAAGAACCAGATGCAAGAGAATAGTGGATTGGCTATAGAAAATATCGTATGTAAGGTTGCTGAAACTTCTGGAGTAGGTCGATCAAGTGTTTACAAAATCTTGAAGGAATATAGACAAAATCACTCACTATCTGAGCGAAAAACATATCCAGCGAGAAAAAAAATCATCGAAAAAATAGATGACTTTGACAAAAGTGCCATTAGAAGAAAAGTACATCACTTTTTCTTCAGGAATGAAATACCTACAATAGATAAAATATTGAAGCAAGTGAATGATGATGAGGACCTGCCAAATTTTAAAAGATCTACGTTCCATAAGCTGTTGAAAGAACTAGACTTTCGATTTTTGAAAAGAGGAAGGAATAGTTTATTGATAGAAAAGGAGGAAATTGTTATCTGGAGGAGAGAATACCTTAGAAAAATTAAGCAATTCCGCGCTGAAGGAAGAAAAATTTATTATTTAGACGAAACATGGGTGAACGCGGGGCATACGCAGGGAAAGGTTTGGGTAGACAGATCTGTGAGGGGATTGAAAAATCCTGCAGGTAAGTTTCGGAGTATATGAACTTTTTTGGATGCAGATAATTCATTTTCTGATCGAATCAATGATTTGGAAGCTCCGAACTCAGTTTTGCTATCTCATCCAAGTTTCTGAGTATTTCCTTCACCCAAAAACTAATCTAAGACCCTATCCTACACTAACCTAAAAAGAGTAAGTTGCTTAATTTCGTCATTTAGTGCGCTCGCTGAGAAGTAAAATAACTAATTACTTTCAGGCAAAGGAAAACGCCTGATCATTTGCCACATAGGTAGCGTAGATGGATTTGTTCCTGAAGCATTGTGGGCATTTGAATCCAAAAAAACTAGAGACTATCACGAAGAAATGGATGGTTACTCATTTGAAAATTGGTTCAAAAAAATTTTGCCGACACTTGATGATAACGCAATTATTGTGATGGATAATGCCCCGTACCACTCCAGAAAATTGGAAAAAATTCCAACAATGGCCACCAAAAAGGCAGACATTCAACAGTGGCTTGTCTCAAAGAAGATCGACTTCGACCAAACAATGGTCAAAGCTGATTAAATATGATTTAAAAATTGTTGACAAAATGGCCAAAAACCAAAATAAAACGATTCTCAGGCTGCCTCCCTATCACTGCGAACTGAATCCTATCGAGTTGATTTGGGCCGACATCAAGCAATACGTGGCGTCAAATAACAGCACTTTTAAGTTTTCTGACCTTAAAAAACTGTTTGATGTTGCTGTCGATAGAATTACGCCAGCAAAATGGAGAACATGTATTGACCATGTCCAAGAGAAGGTTGAAACCAAAATGTGGGATATGGACAATATCATTGACACCCAAGTTGAACCCCTTATAATTGACATCAACAATTCTGATGATTCAAGCTCCTCGGAATACAGCATATAAATCGATTGATACCATTAAGACTGGCAGTTTAACGGGCTTTTTTGGCAAGACAGGTAAGTTCATTATAGACTGCAATCAAAGTGTAAGTTTCTAGTTATTAATGTGGAAATTCCAAATTTATAATTACACAAAATTAGGGTTAATTTAGGAGTTCCAAAGCGTAATAGTGCCATTTTGACCTTCTTCCTATTTCTCATGTAAATTTTAATAGCAATCAAACTAACAAACTTTATGGAGTCTGTAATAAACTTTTGTACTACTACTACCACTACGTCTGTAGTTTCTATTTGCTCAAAAAAATTTGCTCTGCATTGTGAATAGAAGGTTGATTTGTAAATATTATTGGGTATATATGTAAGTTAATAATAAAATATGAACAATTTCAATTGAGATGGTCCACAAGTTTTTTTCGTGTGCGTTTTAGTAACATTTTGCTGAAATGGTGAATACAGAATTTTTTGCACTGATTCCTAATGTCGAAATATGATTAGAAAGGCGTGGTATATTCCTGACAATTTACTATGCTTTTGATAGAATTTACAGCAACACATATCTTTTACGACATTTTTTGATAGATCAGTCACAATAGCTTGATACGGCCCTGTAGCGTCTCCAACGGTTAAGTTCTTGATCACGTGCAATACGGGTGTATATGTTTGATTTTACTTTGTTTCTTCGATGGATACAGTTTAGTCCATGTCAGAACAAGTATTATTATAGAGGAGACATTTTACTTCAGCTTTTAATTGTTTAAATTGAGAGTAAAGCCTTGATTATCTTTATTGGTAGCTAGCAAGAAATATCTGGATCATACTAGATGCCAGTTGATTGATTTGCGATCACAGTTTGAGGATGCACAGACCAGACGGTACCACAGTACCTTAGATTTTTGCCCATCACCCTAGACTGTTTGGGTTTTAACCATTTTTTGTCGCAACCAAAAGCAAATCCCCAAATTCATTCTCTTCTTTTTCTCTTATTTGCCCTTGTTCAAGAAGCACGGTCCCAGTACCTTTTGTCCTCTACATTCAATCTAACACACCGACTGAACAATGCAATTTGCTGAACTTGAAAAGCACCCGATCGTAATCTCAGATTTCACCACATCGCATTGCTACCACCTTAACAATGCCTAATCGCCTTAATAGCCTCACTAATAACCACCATCATGGGCGGCAGCACACACGGAAACAAAAGTGAATCGACCGGTCGAGTTGTTCGTTCATGGCACCCCACGATTCCTTCAAAAAAATCCATAATGCAAATGCGTCGTCGGCCAAGATTATTCGAGGTAAGCGGGACAAGGTCTGGACGTCAAGGTGACTGATGGCGAGTCCAAGACGGTGTAGTCTAGCAATCATCATTGCAGTAGTTGTGCGATGACGTCATAATAGTGTGGTATTCGTTGCTAATTCTGTCGTCTAGGTTGAGGAAAGGCGAAATAGATTTTTCTGCAACCTTGCGAAATTGTAGATTACATTACGTGCGGATGGCTGTGTATAGTAGAACTTAGTAGCTGAGATTAGCACTGTGAAGAGTACGAGCCCCTTCTAACTTCAGTTGGCCCAACTATTGAAATCTTAGTTTTTTTCTTATCAAACACAAATAATAAAAATGTAGCAGGGTGTTATAAGTTTAAAATATTAACAATGAATAATTTGATAATATACAGTAGAAAACACCAACTTTATCACTCCCTAATCAAATGTGCACCATAAAAATGACACATGTTGCAATTACAGCATATCAACCTATTTTCATTTCAATGCAAAATAAGTCTATAACGCATAGGTGGCTGTAAAAAATAAAAGCATGACAATTGTCTTTATTAATCACAGCTGTCAGAATACGTTTAAAGTAGTTTTGGGTAGTTAAGGTTTTCAAAATGGGTAGAGGAAAGGTTGTAGTGAGAAAATTCGGTTACTGTTAATTAAATTTTTTAATTCTGGGAAATCAAACTCAGAAATAGCAACTTTGTTAGACTTATTGCGGTACAGTGTGAGAAATATCGTTAGAAGATATAACGTAATTGGTTCAGTTAATATTAAACCAAAATATGTGAAAAAAAGTAATATCACAAATGCCGACCGAAGAGCATTAACCCTGGAGCGCTTAGGCCAATAGCACGGCTATAGTTGCTTAGGCGGGGTTACCAATAACCCCAGTGATATATTCCTATTTAATGAACAAAATATAAAAGATAGACACTTTTGTTTCAATAATAAAACATTTATTTCAAACACTCGGTACATATTTCAGCTCGATGATTACTGCAAACAGCCTTGAAACATTTCGCACAGGCAGTTTTTGTTTTTCGGTCATTTGTTCTTGGACATAAAATGCAGCGAGTCTGTTTTAGCAATTTTGCTGGAGGTGGATCAACTTTTTCTTCTGTTTTCATATCTAGATTATTGATTCTTTCAATTTTCGAGGTATTGGTTTTGTCAAACGTCTTTCCATATGAGGCCTGACCAGTTGTAGTCCAAGTCCAAATAGGTATTTTCGACGAACACTTTTTTGTCTATCACGCTTAACAATTTGGAAAATATTGTTGGAGTTAATGCCTGCTTGATCCATTATACCATAAAAAAAGCGTAATGGCCACCTGCGTGTTTTGCGGGATACCGAATATGTGTGCACCATCTGGTCAAAGGTATCGACACCTCCTTTGGTAGAATTGTAAAAATTTATTATCTCGGGTTTTTTATTTTCATCTATTGTACTACTAGAATGCATTGTCGATAAAAGTAGCACAGATTTAGACTTCTTGGGTGTGAAGGACACCAAGGTTTTTTGGTTGTCGAATATAAATTGAGAAGACATAATTTCTTTTCGTTTGTTTGGGAGAAATGATGGAGGAATTTCCCTCTTGTTTTTTCTGAGAGTACCCACAATGGTCAAATTGTAGTCAACAAGCATTTTGTCAGCCAGTGGGATGTAAACCAATTGTCCATCGTCAAATTGCGTCCGGTTCCGTGAATGGGTTCTGTCAGTTTTCTTACGTAATAAGCTGGGAGAGGTTCTTTATCTGGCCTATTTTCTTTGCCGACATATGGAATAGCAGTAACCATATAATATGTGCGTGAATCACACATCGTTACAACTTTGATTCCATATTTGTCAGGTTTTGATGAAATATATACTCTAAAAGGGCAATTGCCTCGAAATCCCAATAACTGTTCGTCGATGGTACAATAACTGTGAGGAGTATAGTATTTTGTACAGTTAGATATAAACATTTCCCATATATTACGTACTGGAGAAAATTTATCTTCTCGGTCTCTCATGGTTTTGTCGTCAAATCTGAGGCAAGATATCAAAAATCTAAACCTTGTTTCACTCATTATGCATGGATACACTTCTGGTCCATGCTTTGACCACATTTCTGCTGTAGTTAGTTGATTGTCTTTTCTACAACCTGTCATATAAAGCAGTCCCATCAAAGCCAAGATCTCTTCAACGTCTGTCTCGTTAACAAAGCCACAATTAGCAACATATTTCCCTCTTTGTCGTTCTATTTCCATATTTGTATGCACCACTATAATATCTATAACATTCGCGCAAAAAAATAACTTCCATGCCTCTAATTCCTTTGAAATATTTTTGGCCGCACCTTTTGGTCCTGGAATACATGAAACAATGTTTCGCTTAGGTGTTCGAGTACGACATGGAAGCTCAGTGCTCCAAATATGTCCATTTTTTCCTTTTATTACTTTGCCAGGAAGTTGTTGTTCTGTCTCACTCTCTACTTCACTATCATCCGTTGAGTAGGTGCTCTCCCTGTCGGACTGAATTGAAACATGGTCGTCATAGTCAGTGCCGTCATTATCTGAATCAGGTTCATTGTCGAGTTCTTCATTCCATCGTAACAGAGTTTCTTCAAATTTGGGATCATCTGGTCGGACAGCCATCTAAATAAATTACGTAATCTAGTATGTGGAATAAAATGAAAATACCAGTTTAAGCTTACCTGGGGTTACTCGTCACACCAAACACAAAATATCATATAAACTATTGCACTGAACAAAAATGTGCGACCAACAACACACACACTTTAACGTCAAATGAACATAGCGGGATCTCCGATGTTGCCAATTTATGCACAAAAAATTAGTGAACATTTGAATTTTCTTTGGGTTGATGCGAAACCCCACTCAGCATTACAGGGTTAAGAAGAATAATCATGAAAAACAGGCGTGCCAATTATTTACAATTAAGTGCTCTGTGTAGTGACGCTGTTGGAAGGATAATTTCGAGGTCCACAACTCATAGAGAGGCCCACAAACTGGGATCTAGCACTTGCAAGGTAAGTTTTCTTATACACAAAAGTGAAGTAAAAACTCTAAAGTTGCACAACTTGTTTATAGGCCAAAGAAAAGCCACTATTAACTCCACTGCAAAAGAAAAATCGGCTTAGATGGGCTAAAGAACATAGACAATGGACACCTCAACAATGGTGTGCAATACAATGGAGTGATGAGGCCCGATTCAAAGTTTGTGTTGGTGACAGTCGCTGTAGAGTTATTCGCAAAAAAATTAAGCATTCCATGTTGACTGTCTGAAGAGAAAAGTGAAACTTCCAGCATCCATTATGGTCTGGGGCAGCATGTCATCAAAAGGAGTAGGAAAATTTCATTTTATTGATGGAAATGTGGATACAAACAAATATTTGGCAATTTTAGAAGAATCGCTTTTACCAGTGATGGAAGAATGTTTGACATCCGGCCAAGATTGTATGATTCAGCGAGATGGTGCAGCGTGCCATACCTCAAAAAAGGCTATAAAATGGATGGAAGGAAATAATGTACCACTTTTGAAATGGATTTCTAGCAGTCCAGATCTGTCATCTATTAAAACTTTGTGGCACGAGATGAAAACGGTTCTACGACAACATCCTGCTCGTACAATCACCGAACTTAGACAAAAGCTTCAAGAAATATGGGATTGTTTTACACGAAATTTTTGCCAAAACTTGATTAACACTATGCCCCAAAGAATTTCAGCCGTAATAAAAAATAAAGGTGATGTTACCCAATGGGAATCTTTCAATTAACTTCGCGCATTTATTCGCACATTGTTTATTTGTTCAGATGTTCTATTAGTTATAGGTCTAAGTGATTTCAAATATGTATTTTTTACGATTAGAGTGTATCTAAAATGTTTTTGAGAAAATAAATTGTTTTAGAAGTGAATAGTTTCGTCATGTTTAGTTTATAAAGGCATTTTTTGGTACAAATCTTGAAGTGGGCCAACTGAAGTGGGAAAGGGCTCGTATACTTATCTCAGCTGCGAGTTACAGAATTTAATACTCAAGCTATCCAGTAACACACTTTACTCATAAATCCGACATTTTGAAATTGATGCCTTCTTCAGGGTTATTCGTTTTTACTTTTTCACTCGTTTTGGATTAAGTTTTAATTACTAACTTGGTTAAAGTTAGTGTCATTTGATTTCTCAAAGTTTTTATATTGGTACATGCATCCACTGTCCTGTATTTTTTGTTTGTTAGTGCATGCTACTTCTAAGGCATACTCTAGATAGCGCTACGCTTTAGCTGCTGAGTTCTAGTGCACAGTCATGGTGAAAGGGTAATTTAAGAAAAACTGATTTTCAGTCGTCCTGTAAAAACCTGGTTCTAAGTACGGAAGTTCCATGGAACATTGTTTATGGCAACTTATCTTTTGTATTATAAATCCGAGTTTGCCATCGTACACTCGGTAACAACTTCTGTTGTTAGATTGCGTGCCGGATTTCCTCTAACAGCACTTGTAATGAGTCTCATTTTAAGATAATGCCCTTCTCAGTTTTTATGCTTTCCAAAGGTACCGTTAAACGTTTAATACCTGTACCTACTTCATGATGCCACCGTTTCAGTGATTTTTTTCAGCACAAACCTCTAATCCAGTCAGAGCGCTTAGAGGCGGTCATGGCCTTACTTACAACAGTGCTGCGGTGATATTGATTTCCAGAACTCAATAGTATTGTAGGTTCCTACCGCACTTGCGCATTACACTGTGAGAGAAGTAATCAATATTTGCTCTACTAAGGCTTTCGACTAACAGATGGCGCCTCGAAACGAACATTGGTAGATCACAGTGGCGCTCTACCAAAAAGTGGTAAAAGCATGAAACTATGCTTAGTACTTACCTTATGTGACCTTTCAACCAACAACTTTTAGTAAAACTTTAGTTACTTAATTCACTTCATCCCAATTAACATACCATTGTTGGAGACTTACTTGTTTTTTCATGCTAAGACAATCTTCATATGATTGGGAACTCTCCTGAATTTTAAATAAGAGCAAAATATTGGAAACCATGAGCCAGAATGCTTGTTAAGCATTAGTATTCCCTATTGCGACCTACTTAAAGGATTTCTAAATATTTGAAAGACTTCTTCGATAGTTTAAGCAAGTTATCTCACTTGCATAGCAAGAGCTCATCTACCATTGTTATTAACTGCCAAAACGAGCTAATAGGTAGGTATAGTTAAAATGGAGTTGCTAGGTAATTCTCAAATTTATCTACGATTGTATATTCTAATGGAGCTGACAAGAGTATGACTAATCAATTGATCGGTTATTATAATCTGCTTTCATAACGTAGGACGGATGCGAATTAATCGACGTTTTGGTTTTATATAAAATCAGACGAGTGTTAAATGCTAGAATGTGTCTGTGTCAGTTATTTTTAATATGGTACCAAATCCGAAGAAATATACTAAGTGACATATAAATCCGAACACCCAGTTTAAATGGTTTTATTTTAATAAAAGTTGGTGAATGAATTTATCTTACTGTAGATAACAAGTGAAAAAAATTTCAGCCTTATCAGTTGGACATTCCGGTTTTTATACTGCTTTTTTTTAATTCACTAACGCTCTAAAAATGAATATTTCAGCCGCAGTAAAGAATCAACGTTGGCGGATTTTGGTTCTTGACATCCTTTACGATCGGTTACGATGCCTAGAGTATGGAGACCTGTACGATTTCGTCAACTTAGTGAGTTTGATAGGGGCCGTATAGTGGGACTTCGGGAAGCTGGACTTTCTTTTCGGGCAATTGCAGTTAGAGTGCAAAGAAGTGTAGACACTGTGGTTAGGTGTTGTCAGGCATGGCTTCGAGAAGGCCGTACGCAAAGAGCAAGGGGCACTGGACGCCGCCGTAGAAACAACAGACCGTGAAGATCGCCGCCTAAGATTATGTCCTTAAGGGACCGTTTCTCCACTACCAGGTCCATTGCAAATGAATGGTTTGCAGAACACGGAAGACCTATTGGCATGCGAAGTGTTTACCGACGAATGAGAAGTTTTGGCTTGTTTCATACCGGCCACACTGGGTCCTCCCTTTAACTCGAGAACACCGACGTAATCGCCTTGAGTGGTGCAGACAACGGTCACTCTGGGATCAGGAATGGAACTGTATTGTCTTTAGTGAGGAGTCTCGATTTTGTTTAGGCATGCACGATGGTCGTGCCAGGGTTTAGATGGCGACGTGGTGAAAGGAGGAATCCACAGTTTTTTTGTTGAAAGACATGTTCATCACACTGTTGGAGTTATGGTTTGGGGTGCTATAGCTTATGGTTCCAGGTCACCTTAAATCTTCATCAGAGGTAAGAGGTTATATCCGCGAAG